TACAATGGACTCGGAATTGGTGTCTGCTGTGTGTCGGACGGGCGAATCCGGGATCCTAGTGCTATAAACCACTTGAGTGCGCCGGATTTGCCTTCGATGTACTTCCTCCACAATTCAGGTCCCGACGAATCCTGTTCAGTAGGCCAGCGTGGAGTAAGCATTGTGCACAACAATAAAGCTGAAGCGTCAGTAATTGCTTGAACCCCCGTAAACAGCCGCTTATGCGCGATGCGGCTCCAGGGGTCTTCAACCGTTCGAAAGGGAAGGAACACCGAAAAGTTGTTCATCAATTCAGCGTATGAACCAACGATGAAATCTGTGCTAAACTCACCGAATTCATTGGGTTGATCCGAAGCTCCGATATAGTTGTGCTAGCCAGTAATTTCAACTCGCAAGTTGGGAAGCTGAGCTCATCGGAAGCTTGCCTAGGCGGTCGTTGTGCTCTGTCCAGCCAACAAACAAATAACGGCGATCGACTTCTTCAGTTCATCCTATCCAATACCAACTTCCGACACAGCTTCCAATGAGCAGCAAACGTGGTGCTCCAGTTCAACTGGTGCGCTAACTCACATCGACCACACAGCAGTAAGTTAGCGTTGGTGCGGCTTAGCACAAAACTGCAGGTCCTATTGGACTACCTGCGTTGAGTCTGATCACTCATTAATTTTGATGCATTCCACTCTCCACCTCACTGGTCGCAGAAAACCCACCAAACCCGGTTTGTAGATCATCGCTTATCTGACCCAACCGTTCGTGCCCGTGTTTAATCAGAGCTAGGGCAAGAGCTCAACGTGCTGCAGCGTGATAGTGTAAATGAACTGTGGGATCAGATTAACCGAGCCATGCACTCCGCAGCGAACGTTGCTTGTGGGTCTGAACCGGTAGCCGGTCTGAGGCATTGAATATTCGATGCATCAGTAGCACTGGTGAAGGAACAGCGGCAAATCCCAACTTTGGGATCAAATCCGGAATGGGTGGTGTCTTCAACGTCGGCTCAAAAAGCACCATGAAAACTGGTGCGCAACGATAGCCAGCGAAGTGTAAGCAGCAGCTGCATCAGGGAGTGGTCAAAGACTGTTCCAAATGATACAACACGGGAGGTCGGTGAACCACAGTTGGTGAAACAACCTGCGACAAAAGTGGTTACCTTATTCGCAGAACGGAACTACGGTTTGACCGGTGGGCGGATTACTTCAGCGAACAGTTCAGCTGACACTAACCAGACTATCTCGTTTGTTGGATTTGAGGCCCCGTGGGTAGTGCCATGTGAACTTTCTGCCGAAGCGGAAGTACTATCTTGCATCCGAGCCCTCAAGAGCTGAAAAGCAGCCGAACCTAACTAACCTATCTCCACTATCTTAAGAGGTGGGGAGGGGGGGGCGATGACCTCGTAGATTCAATCACTGATTTAATGCGT